AAATACAACAATTCTATATTTTACAAATTCTACATTTAATTTTATATTTAATAATTACACAAGTAATACACTTCAGTTAATTATTACATATTACGATATGTTTTTTAATATCCTTTTGTTAGTTTTCATTCATATTTTACATTTAATTATATTTATTATGTACCAGTTTAAAATAATAATAATACAATTTAAATCACTTAAAATATAATAAAATTATAGAATCCAACAATACTAAAATAATTATAATAAGTACATTGATCACTAAATAATATTAATTCACATGCATGGATAGTGAAATGATAAATAAATAACCTATAACTATTTAGGACGTTTATATAAATTCAATTAGTATTTTTTGTAATAATAATTATTTAAAAAAATTCTTTTTAAGGTTAATATTGATTTCAAAAGACTCTACATAAATGCTTCTCACATGATAGCAGTTTATGAAAAATCGGTCATAAAATTAGTCCAGATTTTAGATGAACGTATTAAAGACCCTAGTTGTCGCAAAATGTTGGAAGATATGAAAAAAGATGTTAACATATCAGATAGTAAGTTTAATTATTTTAATATGAAATTAATAATTTGAAAATATATTCTCAAGGGGAGTGCTAGGTTAGGTTAGTATAATTGAGTCGCCCAATCGCAAAAGACCTTGTCCGAACAAACAATTATCTTTGATCATTTTATGTTTCATTTTATTCACTACACTTTGGTTCACATTTATTTCATACTAACCTAACCTGTTATACAGGTAAAGGGATTTTTTTTATTTTAGCACTTCCTTGTCTACTTTACAATTACAGAGTATTTAATTATTGTGTGAATTTTTCTTTGAAATTAGAAAAAAAAAATATACGTACCTATAAATACTGTTTGGCACATTTTTACATTTATTAATTTATACAACTAAGGGCAAACTGGACAGGCGGGATATTGGGATAATATAGTTAGTTGACTGCAGTATTATCATAAAAATTTAATTAAATGTGATATTATGTATTAATGAAATAGGTACATAAACAAACATTTTACTTTTGATATAACTTAAGCTGCAATTATTTTTCAGATTCCAAAAATTCTATTGTCTTGTACCTTCTTCATGCTCTTTTTGTACCTACTACTAAAAAAGCCTATATCGGTTCTAGTGGAAAAAGATGTTTACAAAAATTTTCAATTAAAGATTCACAAAATAAGCTGGTTATGGTGACAAATACAATCATTGAACTGGAAGAAAATATGAAATCTAGAAAACAAAAAAAAATATTCCAATACAACCTTCTATGTTAATAATTGGAACAATCACAAATCTATCTCAAATTATTATATGTTTTGATGAAATTAAATATAAGTTTTTTTCAGTTATTAAAGCCATAAACTTATGTTTCAAAATATATCATGTTTTTAACATTGAGTATCCGATAGAGTCGTTAAATGTTCGGCTATTCATACAACATTTTTTTTTCAATATAAAATCAAAATTTGATAAATCATGCCTTATAATCCAACAAATTATTTCAGAACTTAAATAAATATCTTATTCTATGTACTTTTATTTTTGAAAAAAATATTTAAATACATTTTTTTAAACAATCAAATTTGTGATTTTTTATTTATAACTAAATTCCTTCATTTAATTTGGCTATAATCTAGATATAACCTACTTGTTTAGTACCTAGGTACCTATATAAAATATATAATATTAAACATTGGTATAGTGTATTGAAAAATGTATGATGTTGGAATTGAACATTCAACTTATTACATACATTTAGTTAATATTATCATACTACTAACAAAACTTTCATAAATTGTTTTATATAAATAGCATACTAAATATATACTAAAGAAAAATGCAATGTTGAGTCAAATCTTTTTTAGAAGGGAAATTTAAAAACAATGTAGTTTTAAAAATATGTAACACATCTATATTAAATACGGATAAAAAAATAGTGCCTACCTGCCAAAGTGTATATTCACTAAATAGTAAAATTTTTATTATTTTTAATAGAGAATTTTTTTTAAATATTAAGTTAAATTTATATTTTATTTATATAATAGTTGTAAAGTAATTTCAAATCTGGTTGACCTTTGTTTTCTGAATTAAGCTAAAATAACCATCAATTTTTTACTTTTTTTCACTTTTAACTTTTTAATTTTGAGTTTATTGACCACCCATTTTTTTTTTTTTTGGTGGGGGGAGTATTTTTATAGTTTTTGTAGAATTTTAATACTTATTACATGTTACTTAGTGAATGTAACTTAAATTTGAGAGGCGGGGGGAGGGCACTCCTCCAGTGCCCTTACCCTAGCTACAGCGGTGTTGATTTAACAATGTGACCTATTTGAATCAACAATATATTTCTATTGTTTCAAATAAAGGTTTTCATCAATTTAATTGAGTACTGTATAAATATAACAAAACTATTGTTAATATTACAAAATTCTATAAATGTAGAGTTATTAAAATAAACAACAACTTTGTTAAATTGAATGAAAACTTTATAAATGTAAATTTTGAAATCAACAAACAGGTCTGTTGGCCCTATGTTAACAATAATTTTGTTGATTTAATTGTCATTTTTTTCAATTTTACCAAGATTTTTCTTTCTGTGTGGGGTGGAGGGT